AGGCTTTGAATTTTTCCTTGTCTTAAACGTGTAATGTTTGGAAAAATACACGAGTAATGGGGAATGGGACAATCGTGCCTACCAAAACAATGGAAAAACCTACCACTTTTAAGAATATTTTATCACACACTATCATATATTCTTATATTCATTCTTTTATATAGAATTATTTAAAAAAAAAAAAAAAAAAAAAAAAAAAAAAAAAAAAACACGAACACAACACATATAAAATAAAATTATATACTAATTAACATTTTCCGTTTGCATCTCTCTTTTTCATTTCTCTTGGAAAGTATTTCAATCTTGTATGTTTTTTTTTCTTCAACGAAGTGAAGAAAAATATACTAATTAACCAAGAGCTATGGGGGTAGTACGATAATAGTTGAAATGGATGATATCATATTAGGATATGACCTGTCTCGGTGTGGCCACATTAAAGTGAAACTTGTTAGCATATACTCCCCGCTGAGCCAATTGACCGCTAGCACCGAGAACACGCTACGTGGACCAGACCACATCTCCACGTCCAGGGCACATCACCTTCTGAGCCACCATGCACCTCTAACCCCAGCGAGCCATGCTTAGGCATGGACAGACGCCTCTTCCAACCTTAATTAAAGCATCGGCTAGATACTTCCCTCTTCCCCTTGATTGAGGGAGGATGCTCCCTTCAAGCTCCTATACATACCATGCACCAGTCTTGGGACAAAGGTAACAACTTTTTATACTCACTACCAAAAAAAAAAGTGGCAATAATCATCATTATTTGGTGACATTTGGTGACTGTTGCCACTTTTTTTTCGCAGTGTCTGAAACAATCCACCCAAATACATCCCTGATTACAGTTTCTAACTTTGGCATTTGAGAGAGCTAATGGAAGCTCTAACATTGACCCTATTAAAGTCCTATGTTGACCATTCCAAACCATCTGTTAACAGTTGACGCCGTTTGTGAAAAACGTCAACGAAATGTCTCCTTCTTACTAATCAAGTCACACCGAGTGCTCGTACTCCTAGGTAACTCTCATCATCCCCGCCACTCCACAAGAATCGTGGTGCTAAATAGATGACTCAAAGAGATAGCCATGTTGCATTCTATCGACTAAAAATTTTGATCATCACCGTTGATCTGATTCAAATCAACAGATATTTTGGAAGATCTTTTTCTCAAAAGAACCCACGTGACTTTGAAAGTCAAAATTTTCAACTAAGGCAAAGTGATGTCCCGTTAATAAAAACAGGTTAACCAGAAGAATACTCCCCATGACCATTTGAAATGCCAGAAAATAAGGGCGGCCAAGCTTTCTTTCCATGCTAAAAAAGGCTATGCATCAAAGCAGGTTAAAAAAAAAAAAAAAAAAAAAAAAAAAAGAAAGAGTTATTTGCCAAAAAAGAAAATGAACCATCATAGGCTGTTGATAGCTCTTTTTGCTAGATTAATAACTTCTCCTTTTTGCATTGGAAAAATAAAATCTTTCCAAAAGATCTGCCCTCTAGATGTTAAAAATTAAAACCCTAATTCTGATTCTCTATAAATATGAGAGGAGGTGAACATGATTAGACACAGCCAAAAATTCAATCAAAACAAAAACTCTCAATGTCACACTGACAAATTCAAAACAAGATCAGTTGATCTCAAAAGTCTTCAGACTCTGAAACAACTAAACTCTTTGATTCACAAAAAATAGATAAGCCATAACTCAAGTTTCTAACTTCAGTTCAATTCAGAAAAATAGTTCACAAAGGAAACGCAAATTTTTTTTTGGTTACAAATTTGGTTCAGCATAAGCCAAATCAAGCATAATATGAACCTCAAAAAATTTACAGAGATGACTTGAGCTCTAAGAATCGCCAGAATAGCTCTTGGATGATTGATAATCAAGCAGAACAGGTACTGTAGTGCAGCTCCAGGTCGATAATCATCAATCCAGCCACTTCCAGCCCCGTCTAGACTAAAAAAATCTCAATTCTGCCCATCCAGCAAGCCTCCCCATGACTAGAATATATTAAAAGCTCTGTTAATCTCGACATTGGTATCGATTTCCAGCTGAACCTCATTAGTTGAAGGTGCTGATGTTTGAATTCAACATAGCTACACCCAGTCCAGCTTGAGTCATAGGCAACAATCCAAGCAGAAATCGAAGCTCAATGCTTTGTTGCCCTTTCAAACATAGCAATCCTCTTTTGTCTTAAAAGTTGTGTAATATGCAGTTTTTCTTGAAACAGTTTGATTTATTTTTCAATATTCATTTTGGCAAGAACTACCAGTTTACTATGATAAATTGTGAAGTCATCACCAGTCTGAGGCAAGAAAAGAACTTACTTGGGAGATATTCTTCACTCAAATTCACAATCACTTGTTTAAAGTCAGTAACTTGGGGCGCAAGTTATCTATTTTTCATAAGTATGTTAGGGTTTTTTAAAATTGCTAGCAGTGGCACGCTCGCACATTAAAAAAAGTTGACTTGTTGACCACCAATGGTTTTCAGGCTAATGAGGAACTTTACCATACCATCACAAGATTAAATCAAAACGAATGAACAATAATGTAAAAATGTAAAATTTCTAATGTTGTTATTTCCGCTGAAAAATTATATGTAAAATATTTATTTATTTACTTTATATTCTTCACATTTTAGTTATAGTTTTTATTAAATTCTATAATTAAGATGTGAATCACGTCTTAATTCAAGATTATGTAAATCCGTGGATTGGGGAGTAACTCTCTCTCTCTCTCTCTCTCTCTAACAACCATGAAGCGTCCATACAAATCAATTCATGGAAATCTTCGACCTTGGCTAGCCTAAGAACAACCACATGTTCCTGATACAACACACTTTTAGAATTTGAGTGCTCCTAATTTGGTTGAATTAATAATTAAAGGGTATTTTAAAAATAATGGTGTGTGAAAAGATAGAATTTGTACTTTTTCAAATTTACATGGTGGGTGGAAAGATAAAATTAGTGGAGAAATAATTGAAAATAACTCTTTTTTTCAATACAAATTATAATCTAAATTACAGGAGAAGGAGGAAGATGAGAGGTTTCTACATACACACACCACTCGCCTGGAAGTAAAAGTCTTTTTCACTCCGCTGTAGTCTCTGTTGACATCAACCAGTTATTAAACTGGTTATTGTGAACATTTTACAAGTCCAGCCACTCTATTTTAGAATAGAGGGTTAGGCCCCGTTCGGTAACGTTTGTTTTCATTTTTAGAAAACAAAAATGAGGTAAAAACACGTTCGGTGGCCCAAAAACAGAAAACACTGAGAATGTTTTCATAAAATGAAAACAAGTTTATGTGTACTTGTAGAAAACAGAAAAAAGTTGTTTTCATTCTCATGGGAAACGTTTTCATAAAAAGATCTCACATATTATTATTTCAAATTGCACTACTAGACACGTTTTCATTGTTTTTGTTTTTTGAAGATGTTTTCTAATTAATCTACCAGACGCATTTTCATTTCCTGAAAATGCAAATTCGTTTTCTTGTTTTCATTCTCTAAAAATATTCTAAGAAAACATTATCAAAAAACGTTATTGGACGGGCCCTTAGTGACCCGCATATATTTAACTGGTACTTTCATAATGACGATCTATTGGCATTTGTGCAAAATCAATTTGACTTTGTTTTTGTGTGGTCAATAAATCAATTTGACTTAGTTAGGGGTTTGCGTATGGGACAGCTGAACTATGTCAGATTTTTCAATACTTAGGAGTTAAGTTAGGATAAAAAATGTACTTTAAAGATATTTCAAAATTAGGGAATCAAATCAATGGGTTGGGAAAAAATTATTTCTATATGCAGACTTTGGGGCTTGCGTGTGTATGTTTTACATTGGCCTGGCCTCTAAGAAATTGAAAATTAGGTCACACTGGTGGATATATTTATTATTTTTTGGTAGTTAGAACAGACTTACCCTAATTAAAAAGAGTCATTTTGCACTCGTCATTTCTCTTGTAAAAATATAAGAAAATAGTATAGGATGACTTTTTTTTGAAGGGAGAGACTATCATTAGTCAGATAATCCATGGTAATATTATTCTTACTCTATTTTTTAAGTCACAGGCCACATAACTGAACCAGTCAAGAATCAAGAACAATGGGGTGTTAGTTGAATTGATCCAGACTTTTGGTGTGCTTCTAAGTGGTCATGGGTTCGAAACCCCATGATACACCCGTGTGTGAGTTTTCCCCCTCACTTTCTAACTTTGACAACAAATCCAAAAAAAAATAATAACAATATAAGAGTCAAGAACCAAAAGTAATTATTTTCAGATAAAAGAAAAATATAGGAAATAAAGGGGAACATGACCAGATATTTGGTCTCAAAAGTAATTATGTATTTTTTTAGTTTAAATGATATTAAAGAAGATTTCAGATGTCATTATACGATATTATGAAATGAATTTTCAATTAGGTCCCTATAAGTTTGACGTGGTTTGCAAGTAGGCCTATAAAGCTAGGTTTCATTTCATTCAAGTGCCTACCTCCCTAACAACTCACGCGCGCCTCACCTGTCGTTAAATTTCATTTCATTTTCTCCGTAGGATATCCAAACCTCAGATTTTCACTAAAGCTGAGCCGCCCTGATTGATTGGTTATTCATAATATCATATCAAGAGATTTTAAATCATCTTTAAAATTGCAAGAATATCTCTAACATTCTTTGGCAGTGAAGTAAAAGAAAGCACATATTGGGTATGGAAATATACAACAGTAATTTTAAGCCCATTAAAATTATAATCTGTGCACCAAATGGCCTGGAACCACACTGACAAACAACGAATTGAAACAGAAAAAAGCAAATCAAATACCTCACAAAAGTTTGGTTTACTGGCATTATAGTGCAAGAAGGGTAAAAACATTAATTGCACATGTTCAACAAATTTGGAGTAATCTGTCCTACATTCACCACTTTCATGCTAGAAGAATAAAGCAACAAATCAAAAGAGAACAGCATCCAAAAGTTTAATGCTATTTACAAAGGCTGAAACTCAGAGGATCAAACCTTTAACAGGTTCTGGCTTGGATGGGTCATGCTCGGATGGCACAGATGCTTTTGGAGAATCAGATAGAACTTGAGCATAGTCATCCTCTATTTTCCTATGTTTCTCCTCTTCAACCATTCCCACTTTCTCTTTTGTTTTCTGACCAACCTCCCCAGCTGCTTTTGCAACCTTATTAAAAGCACCAGTAACCCATGAAGCACTGGTAAACACATACCGGTTCTTCATTATAGCAGATCCAGCGTTACTCACTGTCTGCTCAGCAGCTGCAAAAGCTGATTTGGTTTTCTCTGAGACCTGAAATTTCTGATCCACTTCGCGAACTTTGTCACTAACCACAGAGGTACCAGCGCTTATTTTCTCACTGAGCCCAATCTTTTTGTCAAAAGAAGCAACTTTTTCTGAAGCTGTTGAGGTCAACTGGTGCTTCTCATCAAAATTCTTTGCCTTGTTGACTGCATCTTTGCCCAGGACAAACCCCTTGGCAAGCATGCCACTAACAACATCCTCTGCCTTCCGTAATGCAGATTCAGCCCCACCAGGCGATTTATTCTCAGTTACCTGCAGAGAATGGAATATTAGACAGGTCATGAAATTGCAGGGGAAAAATATGACGCAGAATCTCTGTGACAGGCTCTTACATTGGCTGCTGTAGCAGCAGGTGGCAACTCGTAATCTGGAGCCAGAGTTATGGTGACAGACATATCCACTATTGTCGCTCCCTGACATAACATAGAGTGTTAAGAGAAACTTGCTCATGCTTTGCACAAAGAAGTTAGATCACCGATTAAAATCACACTAATGCTGTGGCCAAGTGAACCAAAGCTTCGGTCAGTGGACAACAATGGCATCCTTTCCATTTCAATTTAAATTTTTTGCTACATTCCAGTGTGTATCACTGACCACTTTGAGTCAAGATAATTCCCAGATGCATGTAATCAAAATCTTTACCACCTGACTTTATACAAAAGAATTGTCATCTCTTCCTATGTGCAAAGTCATCCTCTACGAAGTAAAAAATATATAATTAACTCAACTAAAGCAGAGAGATAATCAACATGTACTAGACGACTTCCAACTAATATTAAGTGCATTCTATGCTTTAAAGCTTCCTTACGCATTACCCATGAAACTCCAACAGAGTAATGCACTATCCTATGTTGACAACACTAGCAGTTACATAATTCCAACCTCCAACAGAATAAATAAATTGAAATATGCAACCGTAGGCCATGCTAGGGTCCAGTGTGCCCTCAACACCAACCTGACAAATTATTATAACTAAATATTATGAAAACTTAAATCTCGACCACAAACTAGGAGAGTACCTATATTTAATGCAACAAAACCTAATTCACCAACTACTTAAAGCTAAAAACATCACTTCATTTTGACACATTAGCTCAACAAAGGGTCATATCCCCTGTAGACCATTTTCCATCTTGTTGGTACTGACCACCTCAGCCAGTATATCCTCCTTACAGAACCTTGACATTGAATCTGGGGCTGTATGTGAATGTCCATAGAGCCAAGTAAGAGCATGAAATCAAGTCAAGCAGTTAGTACTAGCTCAACAATGGTTCTTTTGTTCATAGAAAAAAGAGAAAAAGATTGCTTAGATAGCCCTGTGTACAATCAAAATATCCAAAGCTTAGTTGCTCTATTTATTGGCAAATGACACGAATCAACTTCTTGTCCCTCAGAAGGACATCCTTTAATTTTTCTTGCATGGAGCAAAACCATCCAGAATCCTACTTCATCAAGCAAACAAGCCACATCCAGATTTTCCAATATGAATCTATTAATAACCCAAATTGTACAAACCAACCTCAAATTGTGTACATCAATCTCAAATGCATTTTGTACCTCTACTGTTCATATCATTTACGACATAGCTTAACTAATATACCTAGGGTGTCAAGTGAAGTCACATACCGAATGATTATTAGATCACTGGATCACAAAAGGTTTTCAGGTTTATATTTATCTTTTATTGTTTAACCTCCCACAGACAATGGTAAATATACCTGTTGAATTATTAAAAGATCATGAGTAAGAAAATAAATGGACCACATGAGGAGGTGTTATATTATGATCAAAGAAGTTTCATTACCGAAAGGAGAACTGCAGTCTCAGCTCCTTGTACATCCTTGAAGGTAACATAAGCAATTTGGGACCGCTCAGTATCACTGCATGAGCATACAATAAGCTAAATTCATATACAGATAATAAAAGATGAGGAATCTATCAAACTAAATAAATCATCAAACCTCATCATTTCGACATATGCAATATCACCAGAAAAAGAAAAGAACTCCTTTATGTCTCTCTCACTTGCACCCAAGGAAAGATTGCTGACCTTGATGGTTTGTACCTGCAAGAGAGCAATATGAGTTAGACCATAAAAATATGATTTTCAGAATCTAGGTTGTGCATTCATTTTGGAGAGACACCAAGCAAAGAAAATAACAACACAACTTAAAATTGCATATAACTCAATATCAGGATATATGGCACTCCAATGTCGGATCAAAATTATAATGGAATAACCTTTGCAAAACCTACATCCTCTATGAGGAAGAAAGGATAAATTAATCTGTTTTACTCCCCTCCAAAAGTGTATAGGATTCCTCAGCCTGACCTCCTCCACCCTTTTTTTAAGAAGGGGAGGGGAGTACACCCCATTGATAGTGTTCAGAGAACAACTTTGGATGCACTATTATTATGAACTAAAAAATGAAAAATGAGCTTCACCTTTTGCTGCTGCCAAGCTACTTTTGCAACTTGACGCCAGCCTTTTTCCAAGAAAAGAATCCACATACAACTTATAAATTGGTTGTGTCCAAATTTAAAAAATAAAAAAAACAGATTCTTAACCTACTCTAGGAAAGCCCATTTTCAGGGATCCTTATAAATCAAAAGGTTGTGCAAAGAAATAATTAGCTGAAAAAATTTGACTCCCATAGCACTTAATGCTTCCCTTTCCTTAGTAAGAAAATCACGGCCAAGTATCTTGACAAGAAAAGAGAAAGTGTAGTATTGGGTTATCTTTGATTTCATTTAGAAGTATCAGATCTATGAAACCTTTCTCAAGTTGCAGTTAGGAACAATATTTAAAAAACTGCAACTGCAACTGAAACATAACTATACTAAAATTAGAATATAAAGAATCCTGAATAACAAAAGTAAACTGGGGATAATGTAGAAAAAAAGAGTATGAATCCAGAATGAAACTTTTCTCAAGAATGGATTCATTTCATTTATTCAATTTTTGTTTTCCCCATTGAAAATAAGTCAAACACACAAGATCAGTTACATTGAGGAACCAAAAAAAGAGCCAAACAAACATCACATCTACCTCTACATGCAATTCTTCACTTGTAAACATGAATCTAATTCAACCAATTCAACTACACAGAGATAAAAATACAGATCTAATAAGGCTGCCCCAAATCACTGATAGTCAATGAGTAAACTTATTCATCAAGCAATCACACCAAAGCTACCCAAAAAAACACCCATATTCCTAACTGATCAAAACAAACACTTCAAAAGCCTAAAACTCAGTTCAATTTGATGTAAACAATAAATTCAGGAACATACACACAGAAGGAGAAAGACAACAAGAGAGAAAGTACTCACCGACATGGCGAGGTTCTACTGGAGAAGATCAAGGGGCGAAAATGAAGATCAACGACGACGTAGACTGGCCGTAAAGTTGCCGGAGAAACTGAGACTTTCTCAGACAGCAAAGTCGTAATGAAGAAAATGAAAGCAATTTTGGGTCAGGATGAGATATTTTTATACTGGCGCAGGCGTCAAGTATGGGTTTAGAGGGGCATGTGCCCTGGACCGTGGCACGTGAGGCACCGTAAGGTTTTCGTTGTTGAAAATTTTTATTATTATTATTTTTCGTCAGATAGTAAACTTTGAAACGTGCGAGCGTGTTGATTGGTATTTATTGGACTGGTGGGGCCCATTAGGACAGGTTCCGATACGCGTTTGGATGGACTTTTGTCTTGGGTGAAGTAGAAATTTATCCATAAACTTTCGGGTTGTTGTATTTTGCTTGTTAGAGCAAGCCCAATGATGGACTCTAAATGGGGTGCCAATTTAGAATTTCGACGGAATTGTTTGGGCTTTAAAGGAATTAAGCCCAAATAGGAGGCCCTATATTTCGAACTCTATATTTTTGAGTGGTGTTATTTCCACTCCCTTATCCTATTTTCCCACCCACCTTATCTTCCCACCCACTATGTAAATTTGAAAAAACTCAAACTTATCTTTCCACCTACTATTATTCCCAAAATACCTTTTAATTGTATTTTCATATTTGCCCCAGCTAAGAAAAATTCCCCACAAAGCATTACAATTAAGGAGGTCCAAGAAGACCATCCGAAACCAACACCTAAACTAGTGACAGAGGTGGCTGTACAGCCCCCTAAATTGATTGGAGATGGGTGTGGGTTTTGAAAAAAAAAAAAAAAAAAAAAAAAAAAAAAAAAAAAAATATGGGTGTGAGTGCATGTAAGAGAGAGAGTTGTAAATTTGTCATTAGAAGTCATTTTACAATGAAATAAATTTTTTATTTAAATTTTTGAAAATAAAATGGGTGGAAAAGTAAGACAGGTGAGTGGAAATAACAGCACTCATATTTTTTTATGTTGTCATTTGAATTATTTTTTTTTTTTTTTTGAATTTTGTGAATTTATTGTTGTGTTAATGTTTATGTTTATGTTTTTTTTTTTTTTTTTTTTTTTTTTTTTTTTTTATTTCAATTAAAAATAAAATAAAATATGGATGAGATTCTGAAAACAACATTTTATTTCATATTGAGATCAAACATATATTATTGATTGAATTCTTATAAAAATGGAGGTATGAATTCCTCATCTTTATGTCTTTCATCCATAATTCATCTACTTTGTTAGATAATAATGGGGGCTGTTGGAGGAAAAATAGAAAAACAGAGAATGAAAGAATGAGAGAGAGAGAGAGAGAGAGAGAGAGAGAGAGAGAGAGAGAGAGAAAAAAAAGGAGTGAGAGAGTGTACATGAGAAAGATAGATTGAATGTGTGAGAAAGAAGTTGAAGAATAAGAGAAAGAAAAGAGAGAGAAAAATGTTGTAAAGAACAAGAGGAAGAAGATGAATAAGAGTAAGGCTGGGCATTTATATCCAAAACCCGACCAACTCGCCAGAATTAGACTAGTTTAGGTGGGTTGGTCTTATTTTTCTTTTAATTTTTTGAATTTTGGCAGTGAATTAGATCGAATCGCCCAATCTTTGGTTGCAAACTGCCAATTCACCTGAACCGAACCGATTTGCACAAATGCTAATATTTTGAAAAATTGGAGTTAGTGGACTCAAACCCCTGACCTCCAACACTTTCAAAAGTCAGCATACTACTATGGTAACTGGTATTCTTGTGTTTTAATGGTATAATGATGATATTTTGAAGAAACCTAATAATTTTTTTATAAAAAAATTAAATTATAAAAGTGTTAGGGTTTTAACCCTAACACATCTCCTTTTTTTCATCTAAGCATTGCGGTCTTTTTCTTCTTCTTTCTTTCTGCTCTCTATCTTCTTACTCCCTCTCTTTATGCTTCCTATCACATTGCAAAGCCGTCATCATTGTCGGGAAGTCGTTCTCGTTGTCATCTACAACACATAGTCCAAGGCCAAAGAACTCACCATTGGCGCTACCTGTAATGGAACGAATTTCTCGGCAAACTGACTGTAGTCGGTCTCTCGTCTAATTTACTCGGCATCAGTCATTGGAAATGCAACACCGACTACGGTCAGTGTGGTAGGTGACAACTCTCCGATGGCACAATTATCAAACCGTGCCAAGCCTAAATAAGAGTGAATGTGTTACCAAAAAAAGAAAGATAGTTGGGCTTAGTATAATGGAGTTGGGTTTGGTATGATGGAGTTGGGCTTGTGGAACTTGGATTTGGACTTATCAAATAGTAGGATTCTTTGACATGTTGAATAGGACTCAAAAAATTGGGATTTGTATTTAAAAAATATATATATGCAGCCAGTCAGTTTTTACTAACAGAAAATTGGAATTGGAATCATATTGAACTTGTCTGGTTTGCTTTTATTTTTATTTTTTTTTATAGTTGTAATTTGAGTGCTGCAATTTCCATTGACCTGTCATATTTTCCAACTCACCTTATTTTCAAAAAATTTAAGACATATTTACCCCTTTATAAAATGACATCTAAGGACTTAGGGGAAAAATATTAAAACCAATTTTAAAAATTGAGAAAAATAATAATAAAAGATCCCAAATTGTTTCTTCAACAATCACCACCTCACAATCAAAAGATCCCAAGTTGATCCACCCTCACATTTTTAGTGTTAATAATATGAAAGGAACTTTAATTGAGATTTGAATCAGCCCAACAATTCTAGGTTCTTAAAGTTTGCACCTCTCAATTGAGAGAGAGAGAGAGAGAGAAAGTAGCAGCAGCAGCTGCAGCTGTTATGCAAATAATCTCTTAGGAGAATATTCGCTTATGGATCTTTCGCCCTTTGAACTTCTTTTTCTCCCATCCTCGATTCTTGTAAAAAAAGACCGGAGTAAATAGATCACACCTTGGGAGTGTTGGCCAAAGACCCTTCAGTGCCTAAGTTAGTTCAATTGAATTTAAGAGAAACAATAGCCAAAAAAAGGGTATGAAAATTTATTTATGGTGAGAAACGGGTGGTTGTAGCCATGTGTGGTGGCACTTAGCCGTGTATGAAAATATAGAGAAAGGAGAGCGATGAGGTCGGCGGCAATGGTGGTGCAGTCGGCTAGGGAGATAGAGGGAGGGAGATTTCGGGTATTTTTGCAGGGTTTCGGAGCTAGGTTTAGAGTTACCTTGAGTGTTGAGTGAAGCCATGTATTTATAGGGCTCTAGGCATCTAGGGTTTTGCAAAGAATAAACTCTTATCATAAAGAAGTTTATTCTTTCCCCAAATTGTAGTGATTGAGTCCATAAGGGATTTGATTGGGATCAAATCTCCTAATTTGATGGTGATATCTCCAAATAAAGATAATATCTTAATTAGTGATCTTATCTCTTTAAATAAAGATAATATCCCCATTTTTGGTGTCAAAATAAATGACTTAATTAATTGACCTAAAGGATATTCTTCTTATCCATGTGGCATCTCATGATTGGAGATTGAAATATTTGCTCACACAGCAGCAACAACATCTGGGTTGGGTTCTATGGCTAAGGTGCTGGGCTTTTTTTTTTGGGGGGGGGGGGGGGGGGGGGGGGGGGGGTGGGGTTGAATGGGTGGGATGTGTAGAAATTGGTGGGGAGGGGATCGGATAAAAGAGAGAGAAAGAGTCTTCCTTTTTTGGTTTTAGTATTTTATATTGTTTATTAATTAATTAATAATATTATTTACTTGGTGGATGGAAAGATAATGGGTATTTTATGAATAATGGTGGGTGAGAAGATAAGGTGGATGGGGAAATGGGACAGTGGGTGGAAATAACAACACTCTTTATTTTGGTTTGATTTCCCTTTTTTCCGATTTAGTTTGACTTAGTTTTCCGCTTTCCCATTTGGATGCCCACCATCAAAGTACCCTTTTGATGAAAAAAATTTCCACTTCAGTTGCACACAAGATTGACTTTACATTCTTGGAAAGCTCAACATTGTAGAAATTATATATGAACTTATACCTTAATTTCAATTTGTCACCTTAAAGGAAATTTTAAGAGAAATGTCATCTTAATTTTTCAAATTCATAATTTGTCATCTATCTTTAACACCATCCAATTTTTCATCCATTTTAAAGGATATTTTAGTCTTTCCATTTTCAAAGAAAGAAAAAAGAGATAAAAGATACCCTAAATACACATGTATAAATTTTAAAAAAGAAAAAAGAAGAAGAAGAAGGTGGACTCAGTTTGGGTGGGGTGAGAGAATTTGTTTATGGAGGGTAAGTATTCCATGGTAGAGAGAGAAGGCGAAAGGGAAAGAGGGAAGAGGGAATAGATTTCAAGGTGGCATGGTTGGTTGGAGCCATCGATGGCACATTGGGGATGGGGAGGTGATAATTTTTTTTTAAAATGAAAAGAATAAAATACTCTTAAAATATATAGAAAATTGGAAGGCGTTAAACTCAAATAACAAGTCCTGAATTTTGAAAAATTAAGGTGACATGTCTTTTAAATTTTTCTTAAAGGTCACAATTGAAATGGAGGTATAAGTTTATTTCTTAAAAAATTCCATTTGTGGGTCCACATCAACTTGCCGGCAGCGGCTTCCGTCCCCAAATAGTTTCCACCAGAAAAAACAACCTCACCGCATCAATAATACAATACGAGACGTACGCATACCTCCTCTTTCTCTCCCTCTCTCTCTCTCTCTCTCTCTTCCCTTTTCCCTTCCTCTCCCTCTCTCTCTCTCTCTCTTCCGAATCATCGCCTCCTGCTTATCTCCCCGTTCTTCCCGCAATTCTTAATTCGTATCCAAACACCAGCTTCTCTTTCCATTTTTCGAAACTATTGTCAGGATTTTCTCGGGAAAGTAAGGGTTAGGGTTTGGGAGGGAAGCGAGATGAGCTTTCGGGATCTGGAAGCAGGAAGGGGCTCGGGTTTTTCAAGGCGTGACATCGTCAATGGCAAGCAGGACCCGACCCAAGCCGTGGCCTCAGGCATTTTCCAGATCAACACCGCCGTATCCACCTTTCAGAGGCTCGTCAACACCATCGGTACCCCCAAGGACACGCCCGAGCTCCGCGAAAAGCTGTGAGTTCTTTACTTCCTTATCAATTTTGTTTGAATTGTTTGGTTTTGCATTTAGTGTTGACTTGTAGAGAATTTTGTTTGGTGAAGGCTGAATTGGTTTTCTGTCATGGTTAGTATCATGACTGCCTGAATTTTAATTGTTTGGATGAGGCGCTTCGCGTTAGCCTTTTGTGCTGTATAATTTGATGGATTAGGATTATCTGTTTGGCTAGCGTTTTGGAGGTGCATGCAATATCATTTCAAGATTTGAAATTTTTTAAGAAAAAATGGCTTAAGGGCAATGCCCAGATTAGTTCATTCGAGTTCTGAAGTGTCTTTTCTGGTTATTCAACATGCTTCTTTTCTTCATTCCAGCTGGATAATGTGTATGAAATTTGATTCTATTCGTCCTTTATGTGATTGCATTAGAAGTTATGGAGACCTGTAATTTCTAATTTTCTAATAATTTTAAGCTTGTTCTGCCCATTTTCCTGTTGCATAGATGGAATGACTGTTGGTGTTCTCTCTCTCTCTCCCGCCCCCCCTTCCCTCACTCACTTACTTCCATTATTGTGAATGATTTCCACAAGATACGGCATGCATAATAAATTCCATTTTCTAGTGCTCCCATATTCACTTCTCATGATTTGCAGGCACAAGACAAGACTACATATTGGTCAATTGGTGAAGGATACTTCAGAAAAACTTAAACAAGTTAGTGAAAGAGATCATCATACTGAAGTCAATGTAAGTTTCTCTCTCTCTCTTCCCCTCCTTTTTCCATCCCTTCCTCTCTCACACACATACACAACCAAAAGTAGAGATACATGCCTTTCTCTTTGCACCTACCATCAGATGTATCCATTATTACCTTGATTGATAACTTCCAGTGCTCAATGATACGATAGCTACAATTTGGTTAGCAAAGAAATATCCTCTTTTGAAGCCTAAGTCTAAGCCCCATTGTCCCAAATCTAGCAATAAGACCTTTTTGGTCTAAAATGAAATATATTGTGGCTCAAGAATCAGAAAATAAAAAGAAACAATAAAAATAAATCAGAGTCAAAGATTATGTCAAGTTTTGTTAGAGTATTTATTTGGGTGAAGCACTATTATGAGTATTTATTTGGGTCCACTTTAGGGAATTTCTGATTGGCCAAATAGGTACATTTGATTGGTTGAAATGGTGCATTCTTGCTTTCTATTGTGGGTTGGCCTTTGAAAAACTCAACTTTATTGTTTGCTTGTTAAACTTAATTGATTTTTTTCCTTCTGCTTTGCGGGGTGTGATGATCTTGAATGTCTTCAACTTAATTGCAGGCGAGCAAGAAGATTACAGATGCTAAGCTTGCAAAGATTTTCAAGCAGTGCTGAGAGAATTTCAGAAGGCTCAACGGCTTGCAGCTGAGAGAGAAACAGCGTACGCTCCTTTTGTTCCCCAAGCAGTTCTTCCGTCCAGGTAACTTTTTGTCAGAGGGTAAATCCAATATATTATTTATGTGCACTATTTTGTGAGTCTGGTAGGTGAACCTGACCATAGTAGTTCACTTACCGTACTTAAAGTTAGTCTATTTTATGTGATATCTTCCAGAAGATCTTTTCCTAATGTTAGTTGCATTACATCTAGTGTTGTCAGACCCTCAATTTTTAGTTGTATGATTGAATACTGTTTCATGCAGCTACACTGCTAGTGAGATAGATATAAGCTCAGATAAGAGTCCCGAACAGCGTGCTCTTCTTGTGGAATCTAGAAGGTGAGTTTTTACTTGATTTTGCGGAGGACTTCTAACTGATACAGCAATGTGAAATGTGTGTGTGTGCGTTAGTAGCAAAGATCATTTGGAAGTGGTAACTTGAATTGTAGCAGTTGGTTTTGCAAGAGCAATAGTATATCTCTTGTGGTTTATATATGTATGTACATATATATTTCTCCAAAAATTTCTATCCGGTAGAAAAGATTTTCTTTAATTCTCAGATGCATTGTTTCAGTCGTTTTTCCTCCATCTGATCTGCTAGTAAATTAACTTACTCCACCGTCATGAGGACATTGTATCAGGGCATAGGAAGTATAAATCTGATGCACCTTTTATAACTTTTTGCTTTTTGTTTCAACCAATCCGTTGACAGGTGCGTAAGGAATTCAAATCTTGAACATTTTTCTAATGTATAACTTTTTGTACTCCTGTGCTTTAATGAAGATCAGTGCGCAGAAGCTGTATGTTATATAAAATAAGCAGTTAGAAGTAAGAAAGTTAGATGCAAAACCACGGCCATCTCTTGACAAAAATCCGGATGTCTGGACAAGAGTAGATTTGTGTTTATCTCATAAAAAAATCAGAACAGTGTTTTTACATGTATTACTGATTAAAAGGTCTTTAATGAATTGAATTCTCCATTGTTGATGAGTGTGAAATGTAAATGAACTATTCTCCAAGTCCAGTTTTGGGTTTATGGTGGAGTAAGTGGGCCTTTGGAGGGAAAGTGGTCCAGTGGAAGTATGGTTGTGGAGAAGACAGGCTTAGAAATAGAATTAATATGAAATCATGGTCAAGGGATGTGGAAGACTGTTATGGGTGGGATCTAGAAGATGTCTTTTGTAATTTTTGAGTCTCCATTACTTATTTAGTCTTCTAGTAGTTTTCTACTATTTAATGAGTCTTTAGTATAGTTTTGGGTGTTTAATTTTAAGCCTGTAAATAACTTGATCTCTTGTAAAACAAATCAGATTTTGGATTGAATGAAAAGTAAGTATTGTTGCAAGGCTAGGGCCTTGATATTTCATCCTCCACCACTTCTTTGTTTTTCTCTAAATTGCAGCAATCTTCAATCCTTTTTCTCCTGTTTCTCTAAACCTATTTAAATTACTAAGATGTATGCCATCTAAAGCTCACTATAATCATAAAGCAACACACACCTTGTGTTGTCCTACATCGAAATGCTAATGGCTTATTTCTCACCTTGAAAACGATTCTCTTATGCACAAATTTTTTTGGAAGCATTAACCGTCTTTGGCTCCATTTCCAATTGCGAGAGTTGAAGCTCTATCTATCTTATGCTAGCTGTTTCCCAAATTTTGATTGTTCTTTCATTTATCTACTTAAGTTAAAAATTCTTATCAATGTTGGATTTGCCATATATCCTTAGCTCTAAATGGGTTGTGCTGCAGACAGGAGGTCGTGCTATTGGACAATGAGATTTCCTTCAATGAGGCTATCATCGAGGAAAGAGAACAAGGAATACAAGAAATCCAGCAGCAAATTGGTGAAGTGAATGAGATTTTTAAAGATCTTGCTATATTGGTTCATGAGCAAGGAACCATGATTGGTAACTTATCCTTGTCTTTACTCTCTTGAAGGCACTATTATTTATCTGGCTCATTTTTTCTTATGTGATCATATCTACTTTGCAGATGATATAGGCTCCAATATTGAGGGTGCCCATGCTGCTACTGGCCAGGCAAAGTCCCAACTTGTTAAGGCCTCAAAGACCCAAAGATCAAATTCATCTCTGGTAATTTATAACACTTTCTAATGGCATTTTACAAATATATGTATGTATGTGTTCTGAAATGTTCTCTTGCAAGCCTGTCTGGCAACACAAAATGCTTATGTTTTTTTTTGGGGGGGAGATAAATGAACTAGTAAATTATACAGAAAAGAGGCCACAGCCATTTACAAACAAAGCCTAAGCACGAAAGCGGTAGGCGAAGAACACAAACTGTGAGGGACAACCCCGAAACCCAGAACACAAACCAACAAACCCCACAACGAGGCAAACAAGAAGGAACCAAGGGACCAGGGTTAGCTTGGAATACCCCAGTTCTAAGCAACCTGTAAATTAACCCAAGTAGGCCTAAACTTTAAGGAATATAATCTAGGGAGATTCACTATTATACCCAATATAGGAGTCCAAATTATAAAAAAACCCCATATGAAATGAACTTTAGAAACACACACAAAGCCCCATTTACAACATAACAAAAAGGCTTTTAATTTTTTTAAATTACAAAACTGTCACTGATTTCTTAAAACAAACCCGACCCCAAAACCTCATAAAAAAGCCCGAAACACTCAATAGGGCATCAAAGTAATTTAATAATCAAAATTAAATTCAATAGGGGCAGCTATCATTTTTTGGGTTTTTTTTGGGTTTGTTTATATAAATTAAATAGTGTAGGGTATCTATATTATTAGTGCTAAGAATGGGTATATGACTAGATATCTCTATAATCTACACCTAATGGTAATACATCTAAAAATTACTGCAGTAGAACTCCTTTTGTTGTTTATGTTGCTAAATCCGATTTGAGCCACTACTTAAGTTGATTCTGGCATAATATGTGGTCCATTCCTGTTTTCAGAACCATAATATACTTCAGTAGGTGTACTCATGTATTTTAAAATACATGAAGTAAGCATTGAATCCCACTTAAGAGGAATATTAATGATCTGTATTATCTCCATCTCTCAATTTATTTAAGGCATATCTGAATATCCTTTAACATTGTCAATCTTATTGATCTCATCGTATTTTGCAGACTTGCTTGCTCTTGGTAATATTTGGAATCGTGCTTCTCATTGTGATAGTAGTACTTGCCGCTTAATCATTGGAAAAAGTCAAGATGTGCTCTCAGGATCCCCTATGATAATTTCTCTAATGGGTTGTCTCTTGGGATATCATGTCTAACTCAAGTTTTTCGCTGTATTATAAGTTGGTATATATAGGGGGTGGGTAGCCTTAACAATTATCTGGTTGTTTTGGTTGGTTTTGGTTATGTGGGATGTGTTTTTTTCCTTATTCTGTAAGTTGGTGTTTGGGGCTTCAGATGGTGTTCTTTATCTAATAATATAAATATTGATAAATTTCATAATTCTTTGGGTTTTCATTGGTATGCATCTGCCGGATTTTGTTTTGTTACTCGATTAGTATTTTGTGAATTGGAGTTTACTTTTTGGTCCTTTTCTTTGCTGCTTCTCTAGTTTAATTTGGTTATTTACAGTATTATTGGAGTTTAGAAGGTATTCATTTCGAATAACTTATTGGGGTTAGGATATCTGGCCAAAACATGATCAAGTCTCGACAACAGCAGGCATGGTTCTTGCCAAGAAGCATACTTGGTAATTACAAAAATCTAACAATTGAAGGTGATTTCAAAATTATAATTGATATTTACTCATAAAAATTTCTAATGTTCCTTGCAGAATCTCCTTTGCAAGATCATGATACTAGGAATTTGACTCATTTGAGTTGTCATATTTTTCTACAAACTAATATGGTGGCGGATTTGTTGGAAATTTGAGGTCTCAACTCTTTGATTTTCTCATTTTTCTTAGATTGTGGCAGTTAAAAATTCTATTTGATCTTGTCTGCTTTGGAAAAAGAAAAAAGAAGAAGAAAGAGGCTAATTAATATTTTGCTTAATGTGCTTCACTTCACATCCATCCAGAGTACTTTGTATGCGTTTGCATCAAATATTATTGATGGAACTGAAACTTGTAACTCACTCATCCATGGTACTTCAATATATCTAGTGTTGAAAATAAGATATACCACTAGACAAATAACTAGTTGGTCTGAATGGTTCCCTTCAAGTGTTCCGACTTTGGTACAGCCCGTAGCTAATACCTCGGACTTGCTACCTGATTCTGAAATCTAGAGGAGCCAGAGGAACCAACATAACCAGAGTTCTTAACCAGAGGAATTAGAGACGGTACAACATCTGCCATTAGAGGCCGGTATTCAGCTTCTGGCTGCACACACATTGCAGCAATAGCAGCTATCTGTGAAACAATATAGTGGCAAGAAAAATCTGAGTTGGTTGAAATTTTAGCACCAATAATTTACAGATGTTGAAGGTTTGACTATAGGAAGCTCGCTAGCTAAGCTGACCTGAATTAGATCCCTGTTTGAGTATTGCCCTCTTAGAGATGGATCAACCATTTCCAATATTTTTTCTCTGGTAGTTAACCTTGGAAGAGCCTGACGAGTCATACAACAAAAATTAGCAACTTCTTTAGTTTACACCTTAGATACATCATACATGCATGCATAAATTGTAGGCATACATACCTACATAAACGTAACATTGAGTCTCTCCGTAGCAATCTAATGGTTAGACGTGTTGCACATCACCTAGCCTAATTTTAGTGAAAGTGTAACTATTAAGATTAGGCTAGCTGATGTTGCAATAAGTCTAACCATTAGGTTGTTGTAACATTTTTAAAAAAAAAAAAAAAAAAAAAAAAAAAAAAAAAAAAAAAAAAAAAAAAAAAAAAAAAAAAAAAAAAAAAAAAAAAAAAAAAAAAAAAAAAAAAAAAAAAAAAAAAAAAAAAAAAAAAAAAAAAAAAAAAAAAAAAAAAAAAAAAAAAAAAAAAAAAAAAAAAAAAAAAAAAAAAAAAAAAAAAAAAAAAAAAAAAAAAAAAAAAAAAAAAAAAAAAAAAAAAAAAAAAAAAAAAAAAAAAAAAAAAAAAAAAAAAAAAAAAAAAAAAAAAAAAAAAAAAAAAAAAAAAAAAAAAAAAAAAAAAAAAAAAAAAAAAAAAAAAAAAAAAAAAAAAAAAAAAAAAAAAAAAAAAAAAAAAAAAAAAAAAAAAAAAAAAAAAAAAAAAAAAAATCTCAAAGATGATGATGATGATGTTTGTTGGTGATCAAATAATAAGGTCAAGGTGGTAGGAATTTGAGTTTCAATCATGTGATTAAATTATTATTAATTCCTTTTTATTTTTCTTGAGAATTGTGAGCGTTGGATTGATGGAGATCTAACGCGAGAAATTGAGGTGAAAGACGCGCGGGAATTATGTGACAGGTGCCCGCGCTCGCACGTCTTTCATTGCTGTCAACGGCTTTTTAGACAAGTGGAGTTTTTGTGTGCCCTTTTGCTTCTTTGAAGAATGGTTCACTCGCCACTTGGAAGCCAATGAACTTTTGCCACGTCATGGTACGGATGCATTTGTTATTTGCGGAATTTGTGTTTTGATTGTGATGATGGCATGCATTGCTTTGGTAGGTTACTGGTTGGAAATGGTGGGGAGAGGGGCAATGGAATGTTATGTAATTGATCAGATGGGAGTGGGGCATTTCTAAAGACAAGGGACAGCGATGTTGGTGCCTACTTCATTTATCTGGGTTGCCCAAAAATTCATTATTATTTTTTAACAAGCAATTTGGGATGAGAAATCGAACTTAGAACTTCAAATGTAGGGATAAATGCCCTTCACCGCTTAAGCTACCGTTTGCTAATTTGCTAATGTTTTATAAACAATGTTGGAGTACGGATTTTCGGACCTCATATCTTCTGAAAATAATATGCAAAATTAATAAACCTCAAAGATGAGGGGCCTTAGTGTGGTGCTGGCAGAGAACTCTCCAACACTGAAGTTAGTATAATTGGGAAGTTTTGAGCTTATTCATATTAGCATTTGAAGCATTATTGCAAACCTCCCAATTAAAGCCAAAATAGTGTTTCTTTTTCAATCAAGCCAAAATAGTTTGAACCGTGGTTGATGTTAAAAGAAACTGCGGACCAAATGTCGTGCTTATGAAGAGCGTAAATTGCTTCATTCCTGGCAGTTTGGCATACCAAAAACTTTGCAGCAACCAGTTATACAAGTGGGAAGTTCGACTTTATGATAAGAACAAAGGCCCTGTTCATAGTGAATATTGATTCTCATCTCGTGGTCATCGGATATTTGTAGGTCAGCTTGTAATGCTTGGGGATCAAATGGGAATACACAGGACTCAACCTTGCAGGGACTGGCGATAGGAGATTTAAAAAAAAAATTTAATACAAGCGATATTGGGGGAAGTGGGACCTAAAATCTAAACCTCAAAAAGTACTTCAAAAGGAAGTGGTTCTGATTATATTCACTTATATTTGATGTGGCAAAGCACATAAAGATATGCATTATTTTGCCTATGAGGAGAAAATCAACTGCCCTACTTGCATTGCATGTGCGAAAAACAGAGCAAGCTGCCTCTGAGACTAATTGCAGACCAACCAAAAGCAGGTTTAATTTTCTAGAAAAGGATTAGTATTGGGTTTTGTCATATTTAATGAATTAATCAGCTAGAGACCAGAGTATATGACTTTGTTGATCCTAGTTTTCTGTAAATGATATACATATACATATATATGCCAATCCAAGCACACAGGCTCAAAGGTTTATAAAGAGAGACTAAGACAGAGTTGGATGAGATTTTGGACTCTTAAACCTGCAGGCCTACCTAGGCAGTCTAATTAGTGTTGTAATCTTAGAAATATGGAAGAACTATCATATATCTGAATGTCAAATGAACACTTAATCACAATTATGGAGATAAAAGAAACAAAAAAAGGGTAGAAAGGTGAATTAGAAATGATACAGACAAACAAGTAATGTAATCTGCTCCATTTCGGAAAATGACTATAAAAATCTATACTCTGATTTACCTCCAAAGAAAAGCTCACCCTTGCGCGATTGCAACCCTTTGTATCATGCTTTCTTCTTTTTGGATTTGAGCATCACATATCCAATGAAAATGCATAAGAAGCAGAGAAGCACCATGCCAGCAAACACAGGTATTAATATGGCATATTCTTGGGGCAGGAAATACCGGTGGATAAAGTGATCACTGTTTACAAACGGCTGAAACACAACGAGAGTAAATATCAACAGCGGGTTAATATAAGTGTGAGAAGCATTTGAGAAAGAAGTAGCGAAGCAAGGCAGGTAATTAACTGACCAGGATTATGACCCAAAATGTGTAATAAGTGAATATAGATAAACTGATATAGGATAACAGAAACCCAACGGCCTTGTCTGCCAATTCCATTGTGATGTCTGTGGCTTCTGCTACCTGCAATTACAAAGAGGATGAGGATCAGCAACTTCATATGAAGTAGCGAACAGTTTCAACAAACAAGTACAAGTGCAGGAACATGTATTACATTATACAGGGAAACCACCTTGAAATTGTATCTAAACCCGATGGATAGTTTTTATACTTTCAAGGGAACCATATACCACCACCAAAACCAGTAGCATTTCAAACCAACAATATGCTATCTCCATAAGCAGTAGCAAATCAGATTTACAAGAGATCCATATAGTTCTGACAGATTCTAAGCAACCAAAGCATTTGGTTTTAAAACACGAAAAATATGAAAGGAAGGGTGCATGAAAAATACAACAATTATGCAACCAAAGCAATTGGTTTTATAACATGAAAAATATGAAAGGAAGGGTGCGTGAAAAATACAAAATAATAAACCCTCTAAAGTAGCAATCAACAAAAATTTTAGAGCAGCAACTTAACAAAACCGCCCAGGTTCAAAGAGAACCGACCATCAATACCAAGCACCATTAGGTTTTTGGCATCTTGTTCAAAGATGCAATCTTTTGAACCATATTGACCAAAATCATAAAGGGCATCACCTAAATTAAAAATTCAATGAGATACACAAATGCATACACACATAATTGAAAAATCAAACATGGAGTAATTGGATTTGCTTTCCATAGCAAACAAAACCTTAATTGGTGCTGCAGATTGGGCATTGGATTATGATATTGACCCTTCCAATGCCGAACGAACCCAATTCGAAATTTGGGATTTCAAGTTTTCAATTTCTTTTCCTACACTGTTACACTGTCACAATCAAATTTACTTACCAGAGACAAAGTCCTTCTTTCAACCTCAACGATGATCGCTATCAGGCCAATTTCGATTTCCCTCTCTCCCTCTCACTGTCTGCAAGCCCTAATCGTATACAAAGAGATATTGAAGGACGAGACTGGCGCGTTCAGAACAGAAGAGAGACCTTGCATGCCCCCGGCTTAATATGTCTCTTTTTGAAAAATTCTTTTGGACTTAATTATTCCAAACATACAGCCCATGGTCAGCACCCTTGAAGGAAAGCCCAAAACATTATTCATAAGTTACGGCCTCATTTTTCAACCGGAAAAAAATAGTTACGGCCTGTCAAAACTTATTTGAAGAACACCGTTGTAGAACCACTCACATCTCTAATTAAAATGAAATATGGCTTCAGGAATTGATGCATTGCCTCTCCTGTCGATCATTATCTTTATGGTTTCTACCTGTGGCTTGAGGAGCTTCATTATGTGTGCGGGTTTTAAGCTTTTTTTATATTTCAACCTCGTTCAACTTCATGAACTACACTGAAATTTTCTCTAACATTTGAAATGGCTAAAGATGGACCTCCATTTTTAATTTTGGCAAAATAACATTCTAAACTACTCTAGTGTATTGAATGGAGGATTGAACTCGGATGTAATAAGACGAGTACACATACCCTAACCAACTGACCTAAAACCACGTCTCCATTTTTAATCTCTAACTTGACTCTTTTCATCACAGTCCATTAATTTGTTGACTAATCCCAAATTGGTGAACGAGGGTTGCGCAACAATTTCAGTACACAAAAACATGTGAATTTTGTGCACAAGCTCCAACTTCAAAACTAGCTGAGCATCAAATTCATATCATATATCAGTTTGATAAACATGTGATCCATTAGAATTTTCAAATTTTGAAGCAGCGAAATCTTTGGCCAAATTACGGCGAGAACTGATTACAAAGCAATAATCAGGATTTAAAATCCCCGTAATTTAATTACAAAACCGTCTGATGTCACAAGCCACTACAGCTTCCCAAAAAGAACAAAGAACAACAGACAAAACAAAGAGTATCATATAATTGTCCCAGAAAAAGAAAACAAAACAAATACACTTCTCTGAACGCAGATTTTGAAAAACAGCAGTCAACCCCAGAGGAACTGTATTGCATCCAACATCCTCAAAACCTATCTGCTCCTTAATTTGATCCCAACATTGTCTGGCTCCTAAAGAAACACATAGGGGTACATATTTTCCCCATCATTTTTGCAGCATCCACTGCATTATATCTTTCCGTATAACTCCCCCAAACGCACCTGCACTGTA